CTTGGAGCCAATGGAACATTTTGAGCCTGTTGAGTAGGTCCTGGTTGATATTGTTGACTGTAGCCTTGATTCGGTGGAATCATCTGGGGAGTATGTGGATTAGAAACTGGTCCTTGAGGTGGAAGCACCTGTGTTCCTTGAGTTCCTTGTGTTCCTTGATGAGGTGGTATTGAATGATTAGCTAACATTCCTTGTTGATGATGATTGTGTTGTATAAGAGGAGCCGGTGAAGAAACAGGAGGCATATTCGGCGTATTTGCAGTTACATTTGTATTAGCAGCTACTGCTACAGCAGCAACTGTTGTAGTAGCAGGTTGCTGTGGTTGTAAAGATGGTTGTGATTGTTGCGTCGATGGTTGTTGTTGTTGTGGCGGTGGTGGTGGTGGTGGATGCTGTAGATGTTGAGATGGTGGCTGTTGATGTTGTATTGGAGGTGGCTGCTGTAGTTGTGGTTGCAGTTGTGGTTGTGGTTGCGGTTGCAGTTGTGGTTGTAGTTGTGGTTGTGAAGGTGGTGGAGGTGGCGGCGGCGGTTGTTGTTGTGGTTGTGGTTGTTGCTGCTGCTGCTGCTGTGGTAGTGGTGGTGGCGGCGTTTGTTGCTGCTGCTGTTGTATTGGACTAATAGTTCCACTATACATGCCAGAATTGGATGTATGTTGATTAGCATTTCCTTGAGCTGATGAAGGTTCTGGCTTATTTTCAGTATATGGTGGTGAAGATGTTTCTTTTTTAACTTCATTATTAGATTTTTCACACCCATTTGATTTTTTATCTATTGTATCATTGTCAGTAACCTACAAAGAAATGATGATGTGTTGATCATCTATATATTAATGATTATAATTCTGTTAATAGTACTTACATCAGATGGCGCTTCATCATTAATAGGAGCAGGAGTTGGAGTAGGAGTAGAATTTGGAGTTGATTCACTCGATGCAGGTCCATCTGAACGATTTTCTTCTGCACCTTTTAATCTATCTCGTCTAAGCGCTTCATATTGTCGTTCTACCATTTTATTGAATGTTTCTTCATCTACAGCTGGTTTACAATGCTGAAAGAGATATTATTTCACATTTTAATATTTATCTTATTAAAAATGATAACTTACTTTTTTCAATTCTTCTTGGAATATTTCACTCGTTTCAATAAATTTACGTTTCTTTGCTTCAAATTTTTCTTCTATTTGTTGCAATTCTGCTTCTAGCTTTTTCTGTAATATTCAACAAAATAATTCATTAGAATAATTATTTAAATAATTAAAAATCAATGTTTGTTTCATTGTACCTGATGCATCGTTAAAGATTGTACTTGGCGACGTAATACTTGCATTCGTTGTGTAGTAACAACAGACCGAACATCAGGAACTACAGTATCACTAAATATCTCATTAATAAGACGATGATTTCGAGTATATCGTGAATACGCAACATGTTTTACAGAATATCCATCATCTTGATCTGCAGAATAAAAATATAAGTACTATTTTCACTTGTTTGAATTATATGAATTTATATACCATCATCATCTTCTGCAGGTAAAATATCTATTCTTCTATCTTGTGCTGCTTGTCCTTTAGTACTGCCTGATGAACGTTCGTGACTCTCTCGATCATCATTATTTTGTTGTGCTGCACATAATGCTACGATCAAAATACGTTGTGTTAAAAATTTAATATAAACAAGGATATTTATGTGCTTATCAATATAAAATATTTACCAGATTTCCCTCTATTTTTAGCTGCGATATAAGCTAAATATGCAGGTGAGTTATGATAAGTTTTTAAACTTTTCTCATATTCAACCTATAATTATAACATAAGTAATATTAATATATACTTTTATAGTTACACAAAAATATCAACATATAATTTCTACCTTTTCTGCTTCATATTCTTCAATAAATTCTGTTTTATCTTCTTCAGGTAAATCTCTCCACATTTGCCCAATAATTTTTCCTATTTCCCATAATTTTAATTCTGGATTTTGAGCTTTCACTTGATCCCAAACTTTTCTACTATATCTCATATAAGGCATAAGAGGTTTTTCTGGTGGCTTGGGTGGTTTGGGCATACGAGAATCAGCCTATATAATTAACATGAAATTTAATTTATAAAAGTACTTCAATTTCAATTTTACGGTATTACAATTTCAGTTATAATTGACAAAATACATACATTTGTATTTTTTCCAACTTTCTGTGGCGTAAATCCTGGATGACTATGAGGTGTTTGAATAAATGGGCTTTGTGCATCTTTCTATAAATTATTGCAAAGATTAATTTGTTTTAAAAATAAATCTTCATTACATGTTATATTTACTTACACTATTAGTCGAACTACTACTACTTCCACCAGAGGCTCTAAGTCTTTCTGAAATATAGTTATTATTTTTTTTTTTTTTTTATGGATTAGAATTAGCAGAAAATATTAAGACTAATAATGCTTACGATTAGATGCAACAATATTTGAAGTAGCCATTGCTACTTGCTTATAGTTTGGAGGCAAAGCCATTTTGTATGTCGAGTAGGCTTTATTTTCTCAACGAAATAACGAATACACTTAATAATATTCAAATATCATTAATTTTTATATTGTGTGTAATTCACAAAAATATAGTATATTCCAAACTTCAAGAAATTCATTTAACCGCATTTACAACGCTTCTACGATAAAAACACTTTTTCCTCATTTTAGTCTTAAACTAAAATTGTGTAGTCTGACAAACAAGTCGATATGCTGCAGCTTCGACCATTGATCAGGAATATTTGTCAACTGTTGACTTTTATAATTTTGCATTATTGTAAATAATGTGTCAAATTATTATTTTAGATTTTCTTACTTCTAATTGATCGATTCAACATTTATTTGATGTACAATTAAAAGGATGTCAGTGTTTAAAAAAAAATGGCGGATGGTTAAGTATTGTATTCTTAGTTCATGATTAATTAAACAATAGAATTTTTAAATTAACAGGATTTTTAGCAGTTTTTAGTACTGACTATGTCATAGACATTTTATAATTATTAAGATGAGTTATTTCATAACCGAATTTATGGTTATAATTTATATTACTACCAACTTATTGTAATAGTTAAGTATATGTTACTATAAAGTCGAATACAATTTTGTTTAGTCTTAAACTTTAGTCTTAATACAATTTTGTCCTTTCTGTTTTATTTACTCGAATTAGGCGGTGTTGTAAATTATTGTGATACTTGTAACAGAAAAATATTTATTTACAAATGTGCACATATATTCAATGATTACTTACTTATGTACATTGTATATTTATAAAGCATTCTTAATGATAACATTTTAGAAGTTTTCATATAATATTTATAAGATACCACAAGATATATGAACGTTCACAAAAATTTCTAATTAAATATTAATTTTAAAGAAAAAATTATAGATTTTGTAACATGCAGTACTTAATCTTTAATTTTGATTTATTCTATTATGTGTGTAAAAGCAGAAAAAAATGTAAGAAATTTTAAATTATTTTTACATCA